GCGTGAGTGCGTGAGTGCGTGAGTGAGTGCGTGAGTGAGTGAGTGAGTGAGTGAGTGAGTGAGTGAGTGAGTCAGTCAGTCAGTCAGTCAGTCAGTCAGTCAGTCAGTCAGTCAGTGACTCAGTGAGTGAGTGAGCGCGTGCATGCGTGCAAGTGGGTGTGTGTCTATATACTTACATATATATATATATACACACACATTTGTGTGTGCGCGCATGTGCTTCTGTGCATGTGCATGTGTGCATGAGGGTCGGTGCCGGGGGTTCGGGTTTTTCCTCACGCGTTATGCTCAGGCAAAAACCGGGCAGAACTCCTCCACACACTGGGCGCAAGCCAATCCATCCTGAAGGCAGATCACTCGGTGCATCTTGCAAAAGTTGAGGCAAGTGGATGCTTTCCTGCGTCACTAGGTCCAGCTTCATGAGAGGGAAAGGACACGTGCAAGCCCCAGGCCTCAGGAAGGCACAAAACATGTTGCGTGCATGCTTCTCATAAGACCTAAGATGCTTACAAGATGTGTGCTCGCTGATTTAACAAACTCCCTTTCCAGGTTGCTGAAAGTGAACGTGAGGCGCAATGCACAATGCTGTACAAGCTGTGCGCAAAGCACAACTATCTTTATCCACAACTCCTGTTGTGGAACTACAGAACTGCATGGAGCTTCATGCTGGTTCGCAGAGATTCGGCTGATCGGATCATGCCAAGTTCGTCAAAACTTGTCAACACCTCAATGTAAGCTTCCCTCGCTTCTTCATGCTGTCCCATGTCATCCATCTCTTCAGCTTCATCTACCTGAAGGTTGAGCTGCCCGATGCGGCGAACCAAAGCCTCTATGTCAGTGCCCTGGCAGCGTCTCAAGGTTCCGTTAGAACCGAAGTCCTCAAGCGAGCTCAACGCACCGTAATCCAGCAATGCTTTCACCGCTGCCACATGACCGCACTGCCCATTCAGGCAGGCAAGGTGTAAAGGTCGGTGACCACCGGCTTCGACATCAGGCCTGGCACCCCGCCTGCACAAGGTTTCGATGACATCAGCATGACCATTGGCAGCTGCATGGTGTATAGCTTCCCGGGTATCTCCAGATGTGGCATAAAGAACAGCCTTCCTATCCAGCAACATGTCGCAAATGTCTGCATGACCCTCCGATGCAGCCCAATGCAAAGGTCGCATTCCCGTGAATGTAGCTTCTTCAATGTGAGCCTTACGGTCTAAAAGCAGTTCGCAAACGTCATAGTGCCCGTGCTTGCAAGCTTCGTGAATGGGATGCTTACCATCGCAGATTTCTTCGGCATCGATCTCTGCTTTCGCCTCTAGCAGAAGAATGCAAACATCTCGGAATCCTTTCCGCGCAGCCAAATGCAGCATGCGCTCTCTCTTTGGCCACAGAGGGGCATTGACGTTCACACAACGCTTGACTGAGCCATACCGAAGAATTGCCTTCATCATCTCTGCATCTCCTGCCTCGACAGCTTTCTGTAGCTCGGAGTTCGTTGCCGCTTGCTTCAACACTGCCTGGTTGCTGTTTGGCCCTTTGTACTTGACCACATTTTTCATCTGATCTGGTTTTGGCATCTGCCGCTGCACATCACCAACGGTGGGAATCGACATGGCCTCGTCGATTAAAGAAATCCCTGTGTTCCAACTCCACAGGTGTTCATGCGCACTGCGATGGTGTCAGGCCTGCCTCTGCTGCACCGTGTGTCACATGTAAGTTGTAGGCCCCAATCGCTTGTTGCCGAAATTCTGCATCATAAACGAGGAAGTCAGTACAATCCTGTATAATTCTGTGGAAGGACCTGTCCAAGACGGATCAGATTGGCTTTTGCAACGACCCGCTAGTGATTGCTAATCCTGGTCAACCGAACCCGGGAGTGGCGGGTTCCCGGCGTACACATGCCTTTCTCCGAAGTGCATTGGCTGTGCAAAAACCTTCGGCTGACATGTTACATGGTCAACAATAAGCGCTATCGACACTGCAATACAGTCCTAAAGTTTCTGCTGAAGTCGCATGCCTCGGAAACATCTGCCCCGAGAGGGCGAAGGCGATGGCAAACATCAAGACCGAAAATGTGCAAAGCCACCTTAGGCAGCCACGCGTTTAAATTGAAATACTTATGCAGCCCGGCCTGCAAGCTTAATGATGTACATATTGCACACTGGACTGTCTGCACACACGAGTGCCAGGACATGAAGATGCCTTATGCGGGCTGTGGGACAGGCTGAGAAGACCAAGCCTCAGTTTCGGGGAACACCTGTCGCGTAAAGCACAGTGAGCACGCTTCTCTCCAATTGCCGCACGAAACCTCCCCCGTCATGCCTCTTTGTCCCTGTCCACTGCAACATGTTTGCGAGTCATATGTGTGCGTGTCAACTGAAACACTCCGAGAGCTTGTTTGCTGACAACCCCTTCCGATCCGTTGTCTCATCATCAGAAACGATACAACATGAAAACACACATGCATGCTACCTGGCTAGTTGGGCTGCACTGTTGGCTAACCATCAACAACAGCCATTACGCTGCAGACCAGGAAACAACAAAAATCTCTCCAGATTCCAAGTTGAATACATCTGATGCATGTGTCCATGGCTGTTGATCAAAACCTTTTTTATAAACAAATCTAAAATCTCCCGAAAAACCTTGAGGCTTGATTCTGTGCTGCACGAGGGAAAGGCATGATGATGCCCGGTCGCCAAACTTGAGCAACCCACACTGGCAAATTTGGAGCCACAGGATGGTGGGGTTAACCACGCTTTCCGATAATACAGCACGGCATGTCCCATTTCTACGCACAATCAGGCACAGATATTCAGCACTATCGATGGCACACACCAACAACATAGAGCGGCCAGCTGGTCAAAAAAACACCATAGGCTTATCGGCTCTGTGTGTGTGTGTAACACACATGTCCACAAACAACCCACAAAATGTTCTTGTCTATGCTGGGTTTAAAGCAAGAACACACTATCGTATCGCTGCACAAAAATGTCAAAGGATGATCCACGTTTGAGCAGGCTTGTTTTCCATATTCATTGGTTCACGAATTGCACTTTCGACGGACTCAAATTCTTACGAAACAAACTAAAGCAGAAAAACGCATTGAACAATCTTGCAAGCTCGACGTCTTGCGAGCCGTCATCGCCAGCCGCTACGGCACTACGGTGAAAGGAAATACTATGGAAGAGGACATGCACACACCTGCGATCTTGTGGAATGCCTGGCAATGTGGCAATTGACTTGGAAGCGGAAACACTTTCTTCTTCAAAAAAGTTGCGTGCTTGTTTTGGCCCTGGCCATTCACGCGCGACCAACCCAAACTAAAGGCAGCAAGTGGAGCACTCACGAACCTTTTGCTGAGACGGAGACCTGCAGAGAAGACGACGGAAAAAAAAGAAGAAGAACGCTTCTTTGCATACAATAAGAAGACACACGAAATTTAAGCGCGATCAAGTAATTAAATGAACGCCCTGCTTCTCCGCAAAGAAGGATCACATCCAATCAGGCAAGCGAAGAAACACAGACATCAAGAACAAAAACGATTTCTTGGGACACGACAAGAGAAAGGAAATGACCAAAAAGCCAAGTTGGTGGTAGACAAGAAGCCCTGCTGAAGATTATTCGCGGCAAAGGCTCCGTGCAAGGCTTTGCAATGTAGCGACGGCGGAGTGACTTTTCCAAGCAGTTCACGTTGCAGTGAGACTCTGCGAAGGATGCCAACCTGAGGATTCGCTTGGCTGCGCGTGTGCCTTGCAGAAGTATTGCCACATATCGTAGCGCCATTGCGATGTTGGAGAAACTTCAGCAAAGCCAGGCGAAATGCTCGAAGCCTCCATGCGGCAGTGTGCAAAAGCAAAGAGGAAAGCAGTGTAAACCCGTAACCTTCTGGCCTTCAAACAGTATAAGAAGAGCTTTGACTGATTGGGCAGTCGTGTTTCTGCATTTTGTTCAATTTGAGAAGCAGTTCAAGGACTTGAGGGTGGAGCCCGTTGAAAAGGAGCTATTCAAGAGCTTGGGGAACTTAAGACGTCACAGAGCAAGACGTTTTGCGAACTGGAATCTGAGACTTTAAATTGGGTTGGAGTTGGAGTTGCCTTTTGTTGATTCGCTTGAAGTCAACTCCAACCTGTAGTTTGGGCGGTCCAACGGAGCGAAAGTGCCGACTTTTTTTTCTGCCTGTGGCGTTTCTTTCAAGCTCTTAGCGTTTTTCGCATCTTCTCTTGTGTGAAGAAGCTTCGTGTGCATCGGCAAAGATTTTACGTGATTCAATGCGTTTGCCTTTCCAACTTAAGTAAACGCTTTGAGCAAGGCTGAAAAACACGGGCAACGAATAGCCGGCCTCCAATGCGAGCATTCAGCAGCTGCAATGCGACTAAACCGAAACACCAGAATTCACATTTCGCAGCAAAATCGACTCGACGATGTGAGACTCTGAGAAATTCTGGGAAATCTGGCATGCAGAACAACTGCAGTCCAGACAACCTGCAAAAATTACGGAAACCCCTAAGATGTGTTCAAGACAAGCAGTATCTTTGGGTCAGCTGCATTTTTGCTAAAGAACTGGTGACATTGGGCGGTGTTCTAGAATACTTTGGACTGCATTTCGCGGCGAAGTTGGCGACGACGTGACCGACATAACTCGGATTGTTCTAAAATCATTTCAAACTGCATTTCGCTCAACAACGTTACTGGACGTGAAACTCCGAAACGTTCCAGAATTCATTTTTCGACCGCATTTCGCGGGCGGCTCCTCGAATGAAACTTTGTTCAAGATTTTCAGCTTTCGCTAAGAACATGACTCCGAAAACAAGAAATCCCAAAATTCTTCGACAAGATGTCTCTGAACTCCACAAGACGTGGCAGATCTTGCTTCAGAGCACTGCCAGCGGCTTCAAGAAAAACTGCATATCGGCATGCTTTTGCAAGCGTGGCACAAGCGACGCAGGTCAAGTGGGCAAATCCGGTCGCTGAAGTGCGCTTTTCGGTGTCGAGAGCAACTTGCACGGAAACGTTTTTTGGCTTAAGAAAGAAAATAAATCGAATCTTTCCGGAAAACTAAAAAAGGGATGCAAAAAAACGTTTTTTTGTTGGCAAAGTCACACAACAAGAGCTTTGGTGCTCAGATTCACGTCCGAATCCAGAACCAATTCTAACATGCGGTGAACAGAGTCAGAGCCACCTAAACCCAAGCACTTTTGACGAGTGGTGAGATTGCAGAAGAAGTGTGCTCGGTGAAACGAAAAAAGACATAAAATAAGTTAAAAAAACAAAATCTGTTTTTGTCATAAAGTATCTCATCTCGAAAATTACAAGAATCATAAGACAAGAGTTGAAGTTTCGTGCGGTCTCTGCATTTCGCCACATTTTCACTCGACCGTGCAGTGTTGAAAAAGACATTTCAAGACGGACACCTGGAACGGGAAGCTGGATTCAAGTCGATTGGATTAATGGTTTTTTCGTAGGTGGCAAGTGGAACCTGATGTCGATGGTGTGAGGATTGGATGGTGCAAGTTCAGTGTGGAATATTCTGCGTATGGGTGCAATGGGGTAAGAGGGAGTGCTGCAAATGTGTGGGGTAGGAGTGAAGGTGGTGTGGTGCATGTGGATTGGGTGGGTTTTGTGGGTGTGTGTGGCCATGGGGTGTGGGTGGTGGGGAGTGGTGGTTGGTGTGTGGACTCATGTGGGTGTCGAGTTGGGGTGGGTGCGCGCAAAGGTCTTTACTTGTTGTCAACCGTTTGCGGTCTGAGTTGTTGCTTCAAGATTGTTTTGGGAATGTTTGTTTTTCTTTTATGGCAGTTTTTGGCTTAGAACACCTTCTTCCCAAGTTCAACCCAACATGGGGCGCACTGTGCAGGAATAACGCGCGGATCTGATGGTGGAGGCGCTTGCCTGCACAGGTGAGTGGCCGCAGCTCTGCCTCTGGGAAACGCTTGCCTGCGCAGGTGAGCGTTGGGACGGGCCTAAACCTTACAACCCACCAAATCTCAAGACCACCCTAAACCCGAAACCCTACAACCCACCAAAATCTCAGACACATTCTACCTTCTAAACTAAACCCTAAAACCCACTAAGATCTCAACCACCCTAAACCCTAAAACCCGAAAACCCACCAAAATCTCAAGACCAAAACCTCCAACCCACCAAGATCCCAAGACCCATCCTAAACCCTAAAACCCGAAAACCCACCAAAA